TTCGTATTTTTCGACGAATTTCTTAACTTATACATTTTTGATTCATAATTTGGTTTTTGAAAAAGTGCCATCTATGGAAAAAAATCCGAACTACTACAACATTCTTTGTGATATCGATATTTGTACAATTTCCGTGTCAACTAGACGATATTGGCAGAAAGAGATTCTTAAATGTGGTAATCGAAATAGAAAGGTAAATAAATACGTAATTTCACTCATTAATTCGATACAAATGTCAGACTCCTTAATAAATTCGTAATTTTAATAAATTTTGATTCATAATTTGAAGAAATTGTAATAGTGCCATCTATGGAGAAATTGCCAAACTACTACAAAATGCCAAACACTCTTTATGAAATCGATATTTGCACAATTTCACTGTTGGTTTCACTGCCACCAGCGCCGCCACCCAACCATTGTGTAAGCGTGGTTCGTGTAGGAACTACTACTTCATTGCAAACAAAACAATTTATGCCTACTTGAGCTTTACGCGGAATTTTGTTTTGATTTTTTTTCTGAGTGCAAGTAAATAAATTGTAATTGTAACTGTAAATGAATTATGGAAAATTGCAACAGTAAGATCAGTGATGTGTGTTTAAATGAATTAAACAAGTGAGAGATATCCGTGTTGTCGTTTAAAGATTTTTTTAAGGCGTAAACTAAACGTGTGTTAGCCCGGATTAAGCGTAACTGAAAAAGGTAATTTTATTCATTCTTTTCATAATAAAAGGTATTGTAACTAGTTGTAAGCGGCTAGAAGTTTGTGTAGGTACACAAAAAGTTTATGAAACGTGTTTTCTAGTTTTCAAATCAAGAGCCGAATGGAATTGGGGTGTTTTTTTTTCAATCAAACTCGTGAATCGACATCTTCATTGAATATGGCAAATAAATAGTTTAACACAGACGGCGAGTACCTACAAGAACAACAACCATTTTATCTTGGTCTCGTTTTGTATGATCTTTCTTCATATTCAACGATCAGTTTATACTGGTTAATATGCGTACCTACAGTGTAAATTAAAGATACATCGCGATTATTTCTTTTAAAATGTGGATTAGTGGACGGTGCAGTGACAAACTTATCATATTATTTTGGGTCTGGTTAGGATTATACCAATTCTTTTCTCATTTTGAAAACCGAAACAGGAAAAGTGGCAACGTCGCGCATTGGAGTGCATTGACCTGCGTCAATGAACTTAAAGAGTGTTTACGTTTTCTCAAAGAGAAAAATGCACTTTTTGGCTTAACTACTGGGCCGATTTTGTCAGTATAGACTCTATACTGATAATGTACAAAAAATGTCTATACTATAGACGATAACAAGTATGTTGTATAAATAAATGTATAAGAGTTTTCTACATACGGTATATTATAATATTGATTACTTATATGGTTTTAAAGTAATTACTTAGGTACCTACTATTATTGTACATTTAGTCATTATATTTCTTAATCTTCAGTTATTTATTAATCTGCTTGATCTTTACTATGGCTATGTTAATTCAAGCTCACAATGTTCCAATTCTAATACGTTTTTCTAAGATTTAAAGTAAACTTTAATAAATAGTAATAGACTAATAGGTAATTGCAAGACTTGCAAGACTCTTGCTGCAAGACCAAGACCAAGACCAAGACTTGGAGCGCAAGACCAAGACCAAGACCAAGACCAGGTGTATTGGCGCAAGACCAAGACCAAGACTGGCTAAGTCTCGTCTTGTTCTTGCATTTGGGCAACACTACAAACGAGTAGCCCGATTACAGGTTCTTCAACGTTTCAAATGCCACATTATGCTCTAAACAGACGAACCGCATTTCAACTGCAATCCAACTGCAAATTGCAGTTTGTACGCAGTTGACACGATTGCAATAGAACTGCAATTGCTTACCATGTGACATCTTAGGCATATTGTAGAGACGGATTTTTTTTTCTTTAAGGGGGGAAAATCATCGAATGACTGCTCCCGCCTGGGTGAGGCGGGAGGGAGTGTCAGACTCTTACTGACTAAAAACCACCCCGTTCCTTCTCCTGCACGTCGAGCCGGAGCCCCGGTTACCAGTTAGGTTCTCCGCGACTGTAGAGACGGTTAAGTTACTAAGTTGTACTTCATTCTGTCAAAATTTTATGTTTTTTTACTATGCAATAGAGTTGAGAATCTGCTCTGTACAAGATAATTACTTTAGGGGAACTTATTTTCATTCAGTGCCAACCTTGAAGGTACAAAGCTATTACCGCTCGGGGATTTTTCTTAACATCGGTTTAATTACTCTGTATTTATAAAATATCTCCTTGTTAGCTGTTTAATTACTTATTTACTGTATTATTGACGGGCTGATGTTCCACGCTTGTTTTATCTCGACTATTTAGTTGTAGGTACCTACCCCCACAGCTCTTATCTCCCAAGTATTACTAATTTCCTCTTATCTCGCTGCTAACAGTTATTTCTTGAATTATCGCTTCGTCTTGTTATAGTTACGGTCCATTTGCTCTTTACATAACATTCATTTTTACCACATCTCAGTATGAATATCGATTAGTACAAAATGAGGCTATATTTATTACTTTCTACTGGCCTTTTATAACCAACCTCTTTTAAATTTTAAGGCACCTAAGCTAGTAGCTAGCTGGTAGACAGGTTTAGGCATTTTTATTAACCTACTTCAAAAATAAGAGGTTCTCTGTGTGACCTGTATGTGTGTATGTTTGTGCGCGTTTTGCTGAACCGATTTTGATGCAGCTTGCAGAAAAGTGGTTGTTACACTTAGCAGAGAGATTTAGTACTTATATTAATTCATCGACTTCAATAAAAGAGGGGGTTGAAGTCGTTTTTTTAAACGTCCTCTTTTGATAAAACATTTATGTTTTACCAAACTATATGCGACATCTGAAAGTACAAGTCAGGGGTTTGTTTAAGAGCTGCGCTACTTGACGTTAAGTGACAGTTTAATGGTATAAGGTGAAAATGGCTATAAGTGTTACAAAATTATGCGAATACTCAATACTGGTTAGGTTTAGTTTTTTCCCCGTTCGTTGGAAAGTTATTTTCTACCTGGCAATGCAGGGATTTACATCGGCGCCGGCGCAATGTAAATGAACACGCGCTGGAGTTGCCGTGCGCTGTGTCACTCGTATGACCCGCCGGCATTCGGAATACATTACCGAGCCGTAAGACAATTGAGTAAGTGTGGCGTCGATCATCGACGACGCTTCTATACTTCTAATTATATGGGTGCTTTATGAGACATTATTTTGCTTTAAAGAGGTATACTCAGTATGTTGGGGTTTTGTTGCAAAAAATTTATTGATTTTATATCTAAGTTTTGAGCCATTACTATTGCAATGTTTACAATTTTAGTGTGTCTAAGTGTGGGAGAGCCATGCTTCGGCACGAATGGGCCGGCTTGACCGGAGTGATACCACGGTTTCACAGAAAACCGACGTAAAGCAACGCTTGCATTGTGTTTCGTCGTGTGAGTGAGGTTACCGGAGGCCCAATTACCCTCCTCTTCCCCAATCTCCCCAATTGTTGAATCCCCAACAATCCTCAAACTCCTAATCCCCAAAAAGCCGGCAACGCACTCATAACGCCTCTGATGTTGCAGGTGTCCATGGGCGACGCCGATTGCTTACCATCAGGTGATCCGTATGCTCGTTTGCCGGCTTATGGCATAAAAAATTTTTTTCTGTATGTGCAATAAAGTATAAATAAATAAATAAATGAATGTATTTCGTTTCGTTTCGTTTAAAAAACGATACAATTGCGTCGTCTATTTCTATACTGCAGAAGTCTTTAAAACAACGATCTGCATAATATTCGTTCTCTGTCTTTAGATCGTTGTTGTTTAAAAAACGTCTATTTAACGAAATGTTTGGACTGTTAAAATTTAAATTTTGATTTATATTATTTTATTATCTATTTGATTGGAAATTACTGGGGTCGTATTTGTCACTCTTTTGCATTATTTGTAATTTATCAGCAAGACCTATCAGATCGGACACAACTTTCAGCAGTGAATAAACTACTCCGGAAGAGACTTAAATTTTATTTTCAACTATAAGTTAACTAACTGGACATATTAAAACGCAGGAAACACGAACGAACAAGCATCACACATAACCCTAAAACAAGAAAGAACAGAACGACTCACAGAGCTTAACAAGTTTTCCGAGAACCATGTAGATGATAGTAATGGTCATTTGTACACTTATACACTTAATATGTTTAATATTCATTCTCATCTATTAGTCGTATGTAACATAAACACTTCATTGCTTGTATCCGGTTTACTCAGACAAGATATTAATCGTAATAGGTACGGTTTTGTTCAATGAACCCTCTTGTGGGACATCACTAGTCTGTGTCCAATATTTTATCACTACTGAGTCCAATACTGTTCGTGGGTGAATAACCTACGGTTCTATTATTTGTTATAGTGATTTAGAGGCTCGATATTATAATTTAAAGTCCGGTTTTGTGTGAATTTTTAGCGCCGTCTGGTTGTCATTGACAATATATTTGTTAATGAAGGATTATGTGAATTATGGGAATTATTCTTTATGTCTTCTCGTTGGTAGAGTCGAAGGTGCTTCTTAATTTGCTGGATGTAGTACTAATAGGCCTTTTATTTTTAAAGTTCTCAAGCTTCAGACCCAAAATTGTTTTCAGTTTTTTGGCGTGTCCATACACCATTTAAAAATGGAACTTGCAACATAACTGATAACAGCTGGATACATATTTTTCTACACTTTCGGTGAATAAGAAACGTAAAATAATGCTGAACAATGTAAGCTTATAAATTGCGTGATCATGAAACATGATCTCCCTTGTCCGTGTGAGTAGAGGCCTTTGTTTAGCTGCAGAACATCTCCTGGCTGATCATTATGATGAATCATGAGCCTATAAATGCCCCAATTCTTCTTTAATAACCCATACAGTAGTATGGGTTCGTAAATAATAATAAAACATGATAATGTTAACTTAATACCTGATTATTATCTACAGAGTTAGCATGGTGGTGGTGCTGAACGGCGTGCTCGCGGACGAGTGCCCGACATCAGTGCGCGCGCTGCTTGCCGCGCACCCTGGCTACAGAGATGCGGCTGCGCAACTACTAGCGGCCGCCGCTAGGGTTGTACCACCGCCTGGCTTGCTGTATGTCGGTCAACGGGAGTTAGCGGCTGTGGTACCACATGACAGTGAGTATTATTATATTTTTTTCATATCTTAAGCTGCAGCCCCGAGTGTCTTATAAAGGTCGTTCTCCGATCAATTAATGATGGTGATGGTGTTCTTCTATCAAGGACGTCTATTGAGCCAGTCCAACCAAATGCTTTTAAGAAGCAAGGAATTAGGATATGTAGTAAGAATTAATGAATTAAATAATAATAGTGTTCATACAGATTATGACGATTAAGATCTTGGGTCTTCATTGCATGTAATTAAATGTTTCGTTGTATGCAGTTTTTTTTAAACAGACTAAGTAATGGTTTATTTGTGCAACTAGCTTTAAAAGAATAATTATTAATAGTGCCAAGCCAGTTTTCATTTATAATGTCACCTAAAGTGTTTATTTGACCACTGTCCGAAGGTCCATCTATCTCACATAAATATAACTGTTGCTTATGAACTACCTATTAGATAATTATTATAATTGGACTTTAACCGATCGACTACTAGAGAAAGTTTGGGAGCAAGATGTGCAATTCTAACTTTATGTTCAAGTCTAACCAGGTAATTTTTATTACTTAAGATAATACAGTAACTTAATTTAAATATCAATTTATTTAACTTACTGTTTGTTTATCAATGTTTCAGAAAACGTCAACATCATTGGATCAGATGACGCCACATCATGTATAATCGTCGTTATCAGGCATTCAGGTAATTTCAACAGCATCCTATAAGTTAGTCGCGAAGAACCTAACGGGTTACCGGGGCTCCGGCTCGACGTGCAGGAGAAGGAACGGGGAGGTTTTTAGTCAGTAAGAGTCTGACACTCCCTCCCGCCTTACCGAGGCGGGAGCAGTCAGTCATTCGGTGATTTTTACCCCTTAAAGAAAAGTTCTATAAGTTAAGGTATTTGCTAATTAGAACTTCTTCAGCCCAAAACTTATTCTTTCTTAAGTTGCACAAGTGTATTTTAAGAAGTAAACATATTATTGTTCTTCTATGTACCTGTACTCGATGATGATTAGCGATTGTTGTCCATTTTCATTTTAAGTTTTTTTTATTTTGTACCGGTCACCCTTTTTATAGGGAGCGGAACAACCCAACACACAGCGCCGCCGACTGTACGACATTTACGTGTGCATGACGCCTCAGCTCTTGTTAAGTTAGCTGATTCCAACAGAGCTTACAATAGTCCAAAATTTAATTTGTTAGTATTTTATATCAACATATTTCTGCATACACATTCCCTCGTGTTGCATCCGTTTTATCACAAGGAACATTCCCTACCCGGAACACCCAGAACCGCTGCGTCTTTGTGTTTTAAGAAGACTACTTCATTTTGAATTAAATGTTTAGTATTTTTTGCCTAAACCCCGAAATCGTTGTCGTTCTAATTACGAACCGATACTACTTTCAAGAGAAGACCGTCTTCTATTTAAACCACTGGCAACGCACTTGAAATTCGTCTGGTTTTACGGGTACCTCTAATCACTTACCATTATCCGTCTACTCGTTTACTCCTTATCCTATAAACAAGTAGAATTTCACTTTCAACCACAACATGTCGAAACTCGTTCTTTACTGACAATCTATCACTTTCCAGGGTCAGGTGCAGTAGCTCTAGCCCACTTAGATGGGTCCGGCACAGCGGAGGCGGCGGCGGCGATGGTGTCCCGAGTCCAACAGCTGGCCGTGGGGTACCCGGAGGGCAGGCTCGAGTTACAGCTCGTTGGAGGCTTCACAGATCCTCACCGATATTCCGATGAGCTGTTCGCGAATATTATGTGTAAGTTTTTTTAACATAATAAAGTTATAATAATCTTAGATCATCATCATCAGCCTGTATTCGTCCACTGCTGGACATAGGCCTCTCCTATGGCACGCCACTGAGCTCGGTCTTCAGCTTTTCTCATCCAACTACTGCCAGCCACCTTGCAGATGTCGTCACTCCACCTAGCTGGAGGGCGCCCTACACTGCGTTTGCCTAGACGCGGTCTCCACTCTAGAACACGTTTACCCCAACGGTTATCGGTTCTTCGACAAATGTGACCGGCCCACTGCCACTTCAGCTTACTGATCCTTTGGGCTATGTCGATAACTTTGGTTCTCTGTCGGATCACTTCATGTCAATCTTAGATATGTAATATCAAAGCAGAATTGATTTGTTATCACCGCTATTTATTTCGGTGGAGTCTTAAGAGCCGGGACTACACATTTGACAGAGTCCAGGCAGTAGCGATCTCTGATAAATCTGAACCGTTCGAACTGTACTTCTAATCGGCTGGCAAGGAGATTATGGCAAATCCCTCTTGCGTAGAGCAGTGGATGTGAGATGCTGGAAAAGGGTTATGTGCGTGGTAGTACTATTAACTGTAGTGTCCATCAGATACCTGTGTCAGATGGCGGAAACTAAAGAAGTATATGAAGATCGTATTCAGTTTCTTCTTACCATTACATAACATTTTCAGCCTTTAATCTCCGAAAGGCTAGTCAGAGGAGCATATTACGGCACTTAATGCCACTGTACAATGTAACACCCACTTTTCACTATTTATGTTATGAGTCCCATGTAATAGGGGTGAGCCTATATATCGGGCACAATTCCAGATTCCGTGCTACTACTGAGAATTTTTAAAAACCCAGTAGGTAGTACTTTGCTAGACCCGGGAATCGAACCCGAGACCCCTTGCCCGGCAATCGCATTTGAGACCACTCGGCCAATGTACAGTCATTATTCTCATTTCTTCATACCCTCATGAGACAAAGGTGTGATGTTATCTATGTACGTGAAAATTTCTCGTTGAAACAATACTTAGGTTACTCGGAAATAAACAATTAGAACTGACGCACAGGTCGAACCCGCGGCTCCTTGTCAACTTGCCAGCGAATATTAGCTGAGCGTGTAGGCGGACTATTGTTGCGTACTAACTGACGATCTCAGTGACTCATAACAATGTTAGTCTTATGGGATTTATGTCGCCCAGTTATTTTTTAAATGTTATAAATGATATTCTTTTTTCTTGTATCCGTTTTGCAGATAGATGTAGGTGTGATAATTAATTTGATTTGTTTTATTTGTGGTATTAGGCGTATGAAATGTTTTTTTTATGGCATAAGCCGTTAAACGAGCAGACGGATCACCTGATGGTAAGCAATCGGCGTCGCCCATGGACACCCGGAACACCAGAGGCGTTACAAGTGCGTTACCCGCCCTTTGGGGATTAGGAGTTTGAGGATCGTTGGGGATTCAGGGATAGGGGAGATTGGGGAAGGGAGGGTAATTGGGCCTCCGGTAACCTCACTCACACGACGAAACACAACGCAAGCGTTGCTTCACGTCGGTTTTCTATGAGGTCGTGGTATCACTCCGGTCGAGCCGGCCCATTCGTGCCGAAGCATGGCTCTCCCATACTTATGGGATTTATGTTGCCCAGTTATTTTTTAAACGTTAATAATGATATTCTTCTTTCTTGTATCCGTTTTGTAGACAGATGTAGGTGTTATAATTAATTAGATTTGTTTTATTTGTGGTATTAGGCGTATGAAATATGGTAGACTGTAATATTGTGAACGAATTTGTATTTGTTTGTCTATATGATTTTTATGCTTAAACTTTTTCATAGTGACTGTTTGCTGTTGGCCGAGTGGTCGCAAGTGCGACTGCCGGGCAAGGGGTCTCGGGTTCGATTCCCGGGTCGGGCAAAGTATTACTGGGTTTTTAAATATTCTCAGTACGTAGTCTGGAATTGTGCCCGGTATATGGCAATAGGCTTATCCCCTATTACATGGGGCTCATAACATAAATAGTGAAAAGTGGGTGTTACATTGTACAGTGGCATAGAGTGCACCTCTGCCTACCCGTTCGGGTATAAAAGACGTGATGTTATGTTATGTCTGTGGTAATTTTTATGCATCATCCCAACTTAGTAAAGATGATTTATTTTATTTTTAATAATTTGTTTATTAATTCAAATAATAAAAATACATAAAAAAATATTAAAACTTATAAAAGTTTTAATATTTTTTTATGTTGTACGAACGATTTTTTCAAACACTTGCTAAGTACTATTTTTTATGATGGGCGTTTAATAGTTATAAATGAGTCAATAGATGTTACTGACGTAGCTATTTTTGATTATGAGCCCCTAACGTGGCTTGAAACTAGTCGAGCAATCTACTCGAATGTAACATCAATTTTTTACTTTTTCAGTATCATTCCACCGGCTCTCAGTGGAGATAGACCTGACACTGGCTTGTTGCTGTGAGCTGAACACAGCGCTCGGCGGTGGGTCTGCCGCACCCCTCGTCACAGGTGTCGGTGTGGACATCCGCGCCGGTGATCTCTTCCCTGCCACATTCCCTGACAAAGGACCTGAACTGCCACTAAGGGGTGCTCGGACTATTACAAGTGGCCCACATTCTGGACAGGTATGGGACTTTTTTTTATTTTATTTTTTTTAAAAGAAGAATTAGAATAGAATTTAATAATATATATAATTTAATCTTCTATATATATAAAAGAAAGTCGTGTTAGTTACACCACTTATAACTCAAGAACGGCAGAATAGATTTGGCTGAAAATTGGTAGGGAGGTAGCTTAGAGCCAGGAGACCGACATAGCATACTTTTTGTTTTTACCGAAAATCACGAACGGGGACGGGAAAAAATGGGATTACGCGTACCAAGTCGCGGGCAGAAGCTAGTTATATATAATTTAATAATCCCATACTAGAATTTTCTCCTGTGTCGTGGGCGCGTTTACAAACATACAATATCACATACACATGACACCCAGACCCGGAACAACAATCTGTGGATCACAAAAAGAATTGTTCCGTGCGGGAATCGAACCCGCGACACGTTGCGCAGCAGCCAGTTGCCCAGCCACCGCGCCAACCGTGCAGTCGAATTCAAAGCATTCAAATTCAAAGTCAAAGCATTTATTTCAATTAAACCATGAATTGGTACTTTTAATACGTCAGCAAATACAAAATAAATAATAGTCTGTCGGTCAGTGAAGCTAGGTGAAGCTAGGTGCTCATTCCAAAATGTAGATTCGAATGGAGAAGAACGAGCAAGAAATTCCATTCGTTACTCTTTTAAAAAAATATAAATGTTCTACAATGTCTCTGATACATATTCCAATATTGTACGTATATGTGAGAACAATGCAAAGACACGCTTGACGCATTATACAAATTACAAAACTTAACAAAAAAATCTTATAGTCTAATATGGTGCTCATGCATACTGACAATCCATAAAAATAGTGGTTCTAACAAGATAAAGAAAACTCTTTGATTCAATAAAGAAAGATTTTAATATCAAGTGAAAGGTAGTGGTAGTCTTAAAACAATTAAAATTTGTATTTGTTCATCTTCATAATTTAAAATCTAAAATTAATTCTTACATGTGCATAACACCAAAGACGTTGAAAAAGCTGGACAAAATAATTGAAGCAACAAAATGTCAGTGGTGTTTTTATGCGTGCGTGTGTAATGTGTGGTTACCAGACTTAAGAAAATGACAGATGTCCTTCGTGTCAATGTGTGAGTATTCTGCGTGTAAGTCTTTAGTAACCAGGTGCCACAGTCGTTGTTTCAAAAGGTTGGCCTCCGTTTTTTCAACGTCCTTGTATTCTGTAACATACGTTTCGGCAGTGTAATTTAACTTTTTAGTTTTTTTATGGAATATGAGCAGTTTGATCACCTGATACCTGACCTGACTGTGTCGTTGGCCGAGTAGTCACAAGTACGACTGCCGGGCAAGGGGTCTCGGATTCGATTCCAGGGTCGGGCAAAGTATTACTGGGATTTTTCAAAAAGTCTCAGTTCTAGCACGGAGTCTGGAATTGTGCTCGGTATATGGCAATCGGCTCACCCCCTATTACATGGGACTCATAACATAAATAGTGAAAAGTGGGTGTTACATTGTACAGTGGCATTAAGAACACCTTTGCCTACCCCTTCGGGGATAAAAAGGCGTGATGTTATGTTATGTTATGGTCACCTGATATTAAGCAATCAGCGCCATCTATGGGCGCTCATAACACAAAGAAGTAACAAAGATGTCGCTTGCCTTTTTAAAGGGCGGGTCACGTAATTGCATTCGTTATTCTAATATTTTTTTGTTTTTTTTTTCTTCCAGGTGCTAGATATATACGACAACACGGTGGGCCTGCTCCGCATCGGTCCCTTCAACTACGAGCCACTGCGCGGCGTGGACCTGTGGCTGGAACAATCGGATGACTTCATTCTGCAACACCTCAGCACTACACCCGCTGTGGAACCGCCACATTTCGTGCATAATGTAAGTTTTTTTTATAGCATAAGCCGGTTAACGAGCAGACGGATCACCTGATGGTAAGCAATCGGCGCCACCCATACACACCCGATACAAATGCGTTACAAGTACGTTACCGGCCTTTTGGGAATTTGAGGATTGTGGAGGATTCGGGGATTCGGGAGACTAGGGAGGGGGGTAATTGGGCCTCCGGTAACCTCACTCATACTGTTTTCTGTGAGGCCGTGGTATCACTCCGGTCGAGCCGGCCCATTCGTGCCGAAGCATGGCTCTCCCACACTTAAAGTATAGTACTGTCACTACAGTTTTTTTGTAAAATGACAGAGATGACACGATATTTAAGTACAACTTACAATTGGCTAGTTTCCTAAGTTTAAAACAAATTGTTTCGACTTTTCAATGCAATAAATAATTACAAAATAATCATACTCTCATACATTGATTTGACAATTTACCTACTTTTGGATTTTACTCGCTAATTTTAAGGAAATAAGTATGCTATTTGACGCAGAAATATGATGACGTCATAAGTTGCGATCTAATACAAAATTCATAGAAAATACTTTTGACATTTCAATAAAAGTATTGAATTCAACTACCTGTCAACTACCGTATTGTAGAGGAAATACAAATGCGTCGCCAGCCTTTTGGGAAGGGAAAGGATCATCAGTAAACTCACGCCACGCGGCGAAACATAACGCAAGCGTTGATACACGCCGATTTTCTTTAAGCGCATGGTATCACTTACGTTGTTCTATTCACTGCCTCTGCCGCTGCCTCCTGCCGAGGACTGCCTCGTTGGCCGAGTGGTCGCAGTTGCGACTGCCGGGCATGGGGTCTCGAGTTCGATTCCCGGGTCGGGCAAAGTATTACTGGGTTTTTTAAAAATCTCTGTAGTAGCACGGAGTCTGGAATTGTGCCCGGTATATGGCAATAGGCTTACCCCTTATTACATGGGACTCATAACAAAAATAGTGAAAAGTGGGTGTTTCATTGTAGAGTAGCATAATGTGCACTTCTGCGTACCCCTTCGGGGACAAAAGGCGTGATGTTATGTTATGTTTTGTTCTATTCACATCGAAGCATGGTTCCGGAAAACTAGCATATAATTTTCCTGGCTTTCGTGTTACGTGTCAAAGGCAAAATATTTAAATATTCTCAGTATCACATTTAATACTATGACATTTACACGGCATTTTTAACCTAATTTTATCTCCTTTTCAGATCCGTGTAACCCTGAAATTCATACAGCAGCACCCGTTCCCGGCTGTGACAGTGTTCCCGGACAATCGCTCGCATTATTACCGCCGCGACGAACAATCTGGGTGTTGGGTACCCATGCGCTTCTAAACACATACAAATACTGATAAAACTACCATTTTTATTAAATTCAGTAGTATTTGTTTATGTAGCACTGAAATTTTTAAATATGTAGGGCGAAACTGGTCATCATCTTCATCGTCATCAACAGCTGGAAGACGTCCACTGCTAGATCGCTCGCTGGGCAAAAGGTCGTGTTCGAAAATTCAATTTAAAATTTATTGTTTTTGACGATCAATGTTTTGGTTGAGTGGCGCTGGTATCGCTTTTAAGGAACCTTAAACTTCTATAAAAAAGTTATGGAATCAAGACTAGTTTTGCTCTTTTAAAAATATAAAAGATATTGATAAAATAATTTAAATACAATTAAATTATCACCAGTGTTTGTTTTAATTTTGAAAATCAGCTAGATTGATAGATTCTTTAGTTCAGAAAAAAGTAAACATATCAGAATAAATTATGTTAGAATGAGCTACGAAATTATGTTACAAGAGAATAATTGAGAACAACTCTATATGACTGTCTGAAAAAATACCATGGAATATATACGTAACTAAATATTTAATTAAAATAATAAGAATTCAACTACATGTATAAAAAAAATGGTTTTTGAAAATAATGCTTCTGATGTAATTTCCAAAAAATACATGACACTTCCATTTTTAGTATTGGCAAGACCTAACGGGGTTGCCATAGGACAAAATGATATATGACATAAAAATCATTCTCTCTATTCACAGTGCTAGTAGGTAATTTATTTTTTATTCTTTTAAAATTCATATGATCATTATTCAATTTAGTCTGTTTGTGCATTGGAATAAGATCTAAAATAGTATACCAAGGGACATTTGCATTTTGTGCCTTTTCCAATCATAATGCTGTTATTTTATGCTACGCTTTATAGGTCATTCAATTTTTTTCAAGCATTGCAAAGACATTCTTTAGAAGAAGTACACTCCAGCATACCGAACTACCCCAAGATGTCAAGTTTATTTAATACACTTTCAGTCTTACTGATTTGTAATAAAGTTGACAATAGCTTGATGCTGTGTAGGTGAGCTTGATGTGCTGGAGTGTACCTTAAATATTTTTGTTCTATTATGATAATTGAGGTAATAATGTGTTATTATTTCATTTATATTATTATAGACAAAAGTAAAGCTTTGACCTTATGAGTTGATACAAAAATATTTCTTGAAATAGGATGAAGATTGATTTCTATATAATTTTATACATTGTAACAGAAAAGCATACAAGGAAAAATTTGTTCAAGGGTCGAAAATGAACTGCTTGATTTGTTACCCAGTGATTCACATACACGGACCGCTCTTGAGTCAACAGGTTAAACTGTCAAACACCAAGCGGTCACCGGTGACCGCGACCTATTGTTCTTTAATTGTGTCTATAAAACCGGTACTCGACGAGTTAAAACTAGCCAATGATAACTAAGGCCTTAGTATTTACGAGTACGCGTTCGGTACTCTGATTGGCCGGCGTCAATAAACCAACCAATCAGAGGCCTTAGTACGAGTTTCATTTACGTTTAAAGTATTCGAAACGAGTACGCGTTCGGCGTTCTGATTGGACGGCGCCAATGAACCAACCAATCAGAGCACCGAACGCGTACTCGTTACGATTACTTTAAACGTAAAACAAACTTGTACTAAGGCCTCAGAGCGCCGAACGAGGTCTCGTTTCGAATACTTTAAACGTAAAACAAATTCGTACTAAGGTCTCTGCTCGAGCAGTTAGCAATTTCAATTTCATCGTCATTATTAATAGAAAACTGAAGTGACTTGCAACGAAGAGCGCGGGCAGGTGGGAGGGGCCGCTGTTACTCAGTGTATGCCTAGCGACTGGTCGGTCGTATCATTATTATGTCAACCTAACGAAGCAGTTGGAACTGCTCGAGAAGTCCGTGTTTGTATGTAGAAGTCTGTAGTTTACAATGCAGTCGATCCTGTCTTCTTCGAGCAATAGGTATATTGAGTGGAGGCTTTTAATTGCTCTGTTACAATTTGCTGTATGTATATTGTAATTTATTTAGTGCTCCTTCATTCAAATAGGGCTTTATTGATAGGCCTGGTTAAGCTATTATGATAAATGAAAGGAGAAAAGTTTCATCGCGTCCTATTAAAATGCATTTAGCTTATTTTTGAATTTCGAAACTATTTGAGTGAGTTACAATATTGGGCGATGAAAAATGCGGAAACAATGTTGCTACACACAAAAATTACGTAAAAATTAAATTGCTTCTTACTTTTGTATGTAAATATAAAATTGATAATGTTAATAAGTTATGATAATTGTATATTTTGTCATTTGTCGTTTATTTACTTCCAGTTACATTTTAAGTTTTATTACGATTTTTTTCTTGCCTTCAAAGTATACGGCAGGAAATGAATTTAGAATTGATTGGAAATTGTCAGAGCAAGTTATGTTGTAAATATTATAGTGATTTAGATATAGTTAGTGACGTTATTAGTTATTGTTTTGTGAAATATTATGAATATATTGAAAGTTCAAAGGATTATTTTGTCTATTTTTATTGCCTGTACCCCTTTCCTCCATTACTTTCTTCTTTTTTAATCCGCTTGTTATTTTCACTGTGTGGGAGAGCCATGTTTCGGCACTAATTGGCGGGCTCGACCGAAGTGATATCATGACCTCACAGAACACCGACGTGAAACAAAACTCTTGCGTTGTGTTACGTCTTGTGATTGAGGTTACCATAGGTCTAATTACGCCCATCCCTAATACCCGTATCTCTAACAATTCTCAAATTCCTAACCTCCAATAGGATGAAAACGCACTTGTAGCACCACTGGTGTTTTGGGTGTCCATTGGCGGCGCCGATTGCTTCCTTAAAAACATATTTGGTAGACGCTATACCTACATTGATTCCACCGTTGGTGGTCTGGTGGTCTTGTGTAGCGTGCTAACGGTTCAATTCCCACTTGCTTTATTTTTGTGTGCTCCACAAATTGTGGTCCGTGGCCACGATTCAGGCAGTCGCCCTTGTGACTTATACCTAAATAATAATAAGTCACGAAGCAGGTTGTTTTTGCTGATTTTCATAATAATAATATAATGTCCATTAAATTATGAGAAAAAATAGTTAGAAATGTTAACAGATTTGGATTAACATTAGATTTACTTTCATCAAATATTGAGCTAATAGTGGCAGGTTTATTAGGAAAATATGGAGGTTGCGGACGACATTGCAGGTTCCGACTTGGAACAGGAGTTGGAGCTGATTTTTTTTCAGTACCTAACTATCTGACACTCGCTCGCCTCATTCAAGGCGGGAGTTTTTCGAAGATTTTATCTCATCAAAAATAGGCCTATATTAGAAAATACCTACTAGATAGACACACAAGTCATCAGACCTATTTAAAACGGCATACTTATCAACCCTCACGACAGCATATCAACATAATTATAGATAGTTGGTAGGCCGTTTCTCTCGTAGTTTTCTGTCTAGCACAGCAAAAATTGTGGAACAATCTGTCGTCGCCGGTATATCCGAACATCCGAACCGATACGAACTTCAAACGTTAAAGAAAAGAACGTATTCCTTTTTAAACGACTAGCACCACCTGTGCTGTGACTGGTGTTGGGTGATCCGTCTGCTCATTTGCCTCCTATTCCATAAAAAAACAATATTTTATTGACGGCTATAAAGTCTTACTTATTATGTAGTCATGGTCATCAATAATAATTACCTCTCAATTAATTATTATCTTTAAATTATTTTATTTATGATTTATTAAAAAATCCTGATTTTTTCATTCGTCTTTCCTCTGTGATGTGTGCTGACCATGGTGCTGTCATTGCTGTCAACTATCACTGTCATTTACATGGTCCCAAGTCCCAAGTTGGCAACATTACTTTTGACTTTTGACAGCTGGTTTGTGAACTTAACTCGCAGTTTTGTTAGTTTTTGTGTAAAAGAATTCTTTCAACACATTTTGTAAAGCCATCCTGAGGCGTCAAATTGTTAACAATATGGAAAAGCCACGAGTTACAGAGCAACCACCACCTTATTCCGCCACCGTCTTGCCAGGTAAGACTAACAAAGTTTGTTTGTAAGAAACCTTATTTGTGAATGAATCACAATAAAGATAAGCTGTTCGATTATACTGCGTAATGTTGCAATTTGGCGTTATTATACATAATCAACTCAGTTTTCCTGTATATTTGTGTAGAGCGGATATTCACAATTATTGTTTTGTCTATTTTTGTTTGGTAAACACGAAAGTTAGGTTGGTGAGTAATTTGTTAATGCTATGTTTGCAGGGCCTGTCCCGCAGCCGGCTGGTGCTCCGGGTGCGCCGTACCCGCCTCCCCCGCCCGGGTATACCCCGTATGGAGTGCCTCCACCTCCAGGTACGGGATTTGTGCCCAACTATGGAGCCACAAGTATTATCATTCCACCCCCTATAATAGCCGTGGGTGCGTGTCCGGCCTGCCGAGTTGGCATACTTGAAGATGATTTCACATGTTTGGGTATCTTATGTGCTATTCTATTCTTCCCTATAGGGATCCTATGTTGTCTCGCTTTGAAAAACAGAAGATGTTCTAATTGTGGAGCTCTGTTTGGTTAGACAGATGACAAGCTTTGTTAAATGTTTTGAATAAGAAATGTTGAATATTGAAAGGTTTATGAATGTAATAATGGTTACTCGTTATTATTTACGTTGTTGTTTATGTTGAAACATAGTAGTTATGCACTAGATTGTAAACAAAAAAAAAAGTAAACAAAAATGTGTCCTTGTTTAGATAATTCTTTATTTTCTATTTTACCATAAAGAAAACTTGGCTCTACAACTATGTTTTAACATAAATATGGTCAGTTTATTTTATTTATGTAACAAATATACAAAATACTAATGATTACATTAATTAGTATTCAAGGTCGATGACCATTAACATTCTTGATAATCTGTTAAAATGTGTCCGATATATACAAACGTAACATCAAAATGAAAATGACTCACAGGTAGATGACAGCCATTAACTTATCAGGAAGTTAAATTATGTATTATCCATTAAAAACATCAATAATGGTGATGAATAAAAATACACTATAAACACAAGAGTAAAATTAACCAACAATTGTTATAAAGTAACTACTTCCGCGCGGTTATACCCCTCGATAGCCTTCCTCGATAAATGTACTATACAACCCAAAAACAATTATTTGAATCGGACCAGTAGTTCCGGAGATTAGGGCATTCAAACAAACAAAATCTTCAGCTTTGATATAAAACTCTTTTTGTCCGCATCCCACGCTTTAAGACTAAAACTACGGATACTTTATCCTTAAATAAATGAAACTTGTGGATATTGTTATCACAACTGTGTGATAATATTGTTTTTGTTAGTATCACACCACATTGCCTTAAAATATCCAGTTTGAACTGGAACAGCTCCAATATTTAAATTATAACTTATAAATCAGAGCGATATTTATAAACAAATATTTTAAAAGTATTTTTCGCATACAATGAACATTATGTAGAATTTATTTTTCACGTCTGAAAGTACTATAGTTGATTTTAAATAGGTTTATTTTATCTTATTATCATGTTATATGTATTTATGTTATGTCTATATTTTTTCTAGTATTTTCGAATACCTATTAATAAGAATTATTTTGAGTAATTATAAGTTTACAGTTGGAACAGAATCTGTTATATCTTGCACTATATTATTGTCTCTCAAATTTTACGACCAGCATTTAAAAACAGTTCAATTCAGTGTTGCCATAAAAAATAAACAGAAAAATTATTTGCCAGTAAAAATAAGAATGTTACAGTTGATAATTCTTTCAATTTTATTATATTATGTTTATTTTTTATAATTATGTGATTTCTATGCTAGTTACATAATATGTTTTTGAATTAAAATAAGTAGAATATCCTAAAAGTATAATTTTAAGATAGATTTTGAAATTATTAAAAAAATTGTATAGTTGACAGTGTGTGTGACGTCTAAAGTTCTCCAAAACTGTCTATTTTGAATTTGCCTTATTTTGCATAGGAAAAAAATCGAAATTATGAATAAAACATGATCATAAAAATATTGGACTCGAATATTTTGCTTTGTCAACAGACTAAAAAATGGCATTGAAACAATTTCCATTATAATGTAGATAAGGAGAAAGTACTCAATGCATAACTATATTTTTAAAATAGTCCAGTATTTTTTATTGATCTACACAAAAACAAATAGGAACTTATCATCCCATCAAAACCATTCATTAGTGACAGAATTGTCTCATATTAGTGTTATAAATAGGTAATGAATTAATATTAAATATCTAAGTTTAAGTATATTCAGAATTAATTATTTTATTCAATTATAATTATTATCGTTTGCATATCATATTAAAGGATATTAAAAAATATTGATATTGGTCATGTAAATTTAGGTTTTATTTAATATTGGCCCTAATCATACTTCACTTTACAGTAAAGTTAATTTAATTAATAATAAACGAACGCCAATACTAAATAAATTTTGCCTAAAATACAACCAATATTCAACCTTAGGTATAATGCTGTAAGGTCAAAAGTAAGCTGAAATCTGAGTAATAAGTCTATTTGATAGAAAATTAGGAAGTGCAATATAAAAAAAAAGAAAGGGAATTGACATGTTATTCACCAAAGCAAAAAAAAAAACAATGCGATTTAAAACTTTATTAATAGAATTTATAGTAGTGTTGCTATCAAAAATAATGAATGATCAACATTCGGTTTTTTTAAATAATATTTTCGTTTCCTTTTAAATAATTTTATCAGGTACAGCAGCTAAATAATCTGAGTCTAAAATGTAAGCTAAATAATTTTGAGGAAATATCCTTAACTTTAAAGTTAAGTTAAACCCCTTAATTCATAAACAAGTTATATATGTCCAAGGGCTAATATTTCAATCGACGGATAAATCTTTAATGTTGTAAACAATAAAATTCACATTTGACAGTTTTTAGTATGGAACTTTTATCAAATACTCAAAGTTCCATGGATAAAATTTATCTGGTGTTGGAAAATCGACCCTAAATTAAAGTTGTAACTTAAAGAACAATTATATTAAGTAATATCTTTAAACTTACTCGTCAACTTTATTACTAGTATAAGTTGATATGAGTGTATGTAAAAAACCTTGTCATGTAACATAGGGTCCTGTTTGTCTATCAAAAATTCTATGTCCAACGATTTGACACTAGTAAATTGTCTATTGGACTATACTTCAATTTTACTAGTGCACCTTGTCGAAAATTCTGGCGGCTCTTGCAAAAAATCGTGGCATCCCTTGAGAAAATTTATAGCGTGGTAGCCTGTATTATAACAATAATTAATGTTTATACTATAACTTCCATGAGACATATTAAATTAATAATTATGTTTTCGGCTTATTCAATGTCATCGCGAAATGCTCATGAATATGAGCTTCTAGCATGGCTTGAAACTAGTCGAGTTCCTCGTCAAATAATTACGTGAGTAAGCCGATAAACATAATTAATCATTCACGTGTCTATTTTTCAAACTATTGTCTATTCGTGTTTTATCCAACGAAGTCTATCATAAGATACAAGATCGAAACATTACCGTACCTCTACTCTCTGATTGGTTGCTTCATTGAAGCAAGCCAATCAGAGGCAGAACGCAATAACGTTTCGATTTCTGTTTCTTGTAAAATGTTTATGAATTAGGGGTCTATAGTTAAGGTACATAATTATAATAAAAACTGATAAAAAAAACTCCAAAAGTACTGAATTAACTGTGTATATTTTGAAACTCTTTACAAATATTATTTGCGATTGGAACTGAAATATTGTAACGTTTTTTTTTAAAATTAACGTTATTGCAATCCTTTTTTTAAATACGATGTTGATTTAAAGCAAATGTGTGAGTTATGTTTGGTAACTGGTTGTTAAGTAAGTAGGATTATTAATGTATATTTTTATTAGTATAATGCGTAGAAGGCACGGAGCAATCATCTCAGATTAACGGCAGATTTGATGGTGAATTTCATTTGCAATTTAAAGAAAAAATAGTATTGTTAAATCATGAAAGATAGTAAGAATGTAGTTATTGGCGCTCAATAAAAGATACCCAACAATATTCCATGGCAATCACTATTGGACTGACCCTCCTGTACATAAGAAGACCTTGCTATAATCTTCGCGCTTGACATAGGGATTGGAGACCGCAGCTTGGATGGTTCAAGTCTTGACTTATCTCTGTTAAACATGTAGTGCTTAAATCGGATGTTATGACACGAAGAGACGAGTATGAGTGAAAAGACGGCAAAGGTCTCTGTTGGGCGCCAATAAAGAATAGTCAAAGAGACCTATCTTCAATGGTCTCTGTCATCTCAAACTGTGATGTTGCAATGGAAATACAAGAATGATAATGTGTGAGTTAGGAATAGGTGGCTAGAATGATAAGTAAAGGCTTCTAAAGCTAGCAATATATTGATGTTTTAAATCAACATCCCTAAAAGCCATACCATGTACTGAATAGGTTAGAAATAATACACCATCTCCTCATTGAATTGTTGACAAGTGAAATGTTATATGTAAGTAAACGTTTGAAAGATCTAAGTATATAATTATGGTATACAAAACTATGTAATTATTATTATATTTATACTATAGGTTTTTCAATAAAGTTTGGGAATAAATTGTGGTTTTATTATTGACATTACATTACATTCGACTGAATTTAAAAAAGAAACAGTTCAATCTGACTCTTCGAATTAAAAATGTAATATTTCTGTCCTATTTAAAATAGTCTGGAGTAGTCGCATTCAGGTTTTTATAAACCTTCACTTTGCTTGGTATCATTTTGAGTTCTCTCTGAGACAACTAGGTGGCGCTACGTTGGTGATTGTGATTTCTTTTTACCATTGTACCTAAAAAAATCTTAATATTTAATATTATTTTAACGATTGTTATCACTTTGTTACTTCTGAGAATTTTGAAATAATATGACGCACAGTTTGTCTTCGAACACATCTTAAACTCGAATCTGAAACTCGTATACTCCTTTCTTATCAATATGACAATTTACCATTCACATTTTACAATAATCTAGGTCACTATTATAACTGCAGATTGTCAGGTTATTATCGGATTAACACACACGATTAACGTTTATTTGGACGGCCATTACAGAAAGCGCGCGTAATTTTCGCGGTTATTTGGTGGTGACATAAATACGGTCGATTTGGCGCGACTATCGGAGGCCCTCAGGCTACCATATTGGATACCTAAAAACCGAATCACACTTTATATCAAGTTCCACAAGTTATTATAATAAAGATTCATTTGCGCGTATCTTTTTTTTAAAAAAAACGTTGCTCCACGCTTTGATCTTCGCCTGTATCGTGGGTGCGTTTACAAATATACAAGTTCACATACACATGCCAGTGCCACCCAGACCCGGAACAACAATCTGTGGATCACACAAAGAGTTGCTCTGTGCGCGCGACAACCGCGACACGTAGCGTGTCATTTGCCCAGCCTCCAGTTACCGCACCAACCGTGCCGTCAATACTATATTATCTGAGTTGAAATATAGTGTTAGACTATTAATTT